TCCCAGCATCTAACAAACAGAGAGAGAGAGAGCTAACAGTCATTCTGGCTCCCTCTAATGGCCAATTGAGGAAACAGCAACCAATCACATTTTACAGTATGATTTAAAGAAACAGGTATAGCATTGTTACATGGTTTATATATTGCCAACCCAACCGTTAGATTATATTCCTAACAATATACCACTTAGACTTCATAGTGCGTTGCAGCCAGTAATGGTATCCTATTATCTTCACTACCTGTTCGTGTTACCTGAGCTTTGGAAGATGAAGAAAAGAGATAGAGAATGACCATCTAGTGACTATGATATGTTAAAACAGGGGTGTCAAGCTCAGGTCGTCACGTCGGTGGCACATGATGATCGGGACTTGTTTCCCCTTCACTAAACTGGGCATGGGCATGGTCAGGCCATGAGGTGGGAGTTTGACAGCCCTGATCTAGAGAGCAAAAATTCAGTGCTTTTCTTTGAGATAAAAAAAACCCTATATAGGTGTAGTAGCATAACCTTCTGATTATTCCTAACATTGGGGGAGGAAAGACTTTAGCGAAAGTAATCTCTTATTCCAGGAGATGTTCCACTAATGGGTTCCCTGCCATGGGGGGAGGGGGGAGGCTAGCTCATTAATATACCCAGGCTTTTTATGAGCGCTTCATTTTTTACGGGAAACCTCTACCTCAGAGCATACTTGACACATTTCAACCCTAAAGCTTTCTGAAAGAAAACAGCTATAGAAAATGAGAATGTTTGAGAAGCAGAGCAACCTATTATCATGCAGGGAAGAAAAACTGTAGATCAGTGTTTGAAGATGCGTGGATTTCAACTCCCAGAATTCCCCAGCCAGCAGAACTGGCTGGGGAATTCTGGGAGTTGAAGTCCACGCATCTTCAGGTGACCAAGGTTGAGAAACACTGCTGTAGATGATAACAGGGATAACTATTCCAGAATTTAAATTATTAATAGTGATCCTACTATTCAGGAAGACAATCATCTGGGCTTTTATGAATCAGAGTTTCAACATTCCTTCTCATCAGTTCAATAGCAGCTGAGATAACCTGGTTTCTGGTCAGGTAAAATTCAACCCATAAATAAAGTGAAAATGCTTCCAGGAAGATATATTATCTAGCACTTTTTAAGCATAAATGGCAAAATGGGGTAAGGCATGTCCTTCCTCCTAAATCAGAGATGGGAAACCATGGCCCTTTTATGACTTGTGAACATCAACTCCCAGAATTCCTGAGCCAGCCATGAAGTTGAAGTCCACAAAGTCATAAAAGGGCCATAATTCCCCACCCCTGTCCTAAATGAAAGCAGCAGACCATTATCATGTTGGCTAAAGAGAGAAGTACTCCAGAGACTAGTAAACAGATACTTCATCACCCTCTGTGGATGATTCGACTATCTCTTCTCACATCGTCACTTGCTTCCTTATCAAATGAAGATAATAAGGAATGTCGCTCATGTGATTAAAACAATGGTGCAATTCAGCCGGTTCTATCCAGTTCAGTCAAACCGGTAGCAGTGGCGGTGGGAGAATCCGCCCACCGACCTGGACATCATCACTTCCTGTTTTTGACGCTCTGCGCATGCGCAGAAGATCCTGTGCATGTGCGCGTGGTCACATTTGCGAACTGGTAGTGAAGGTAAGTTGATTTCACTCCTGGATTAAAAAGCAAGTTATATCTCTGTATGGCTTGTTAACAAGAGCTGCCAGCATCTCTCACCCATTCAGGAGTTGGATTCCACTGCCCAACAGAGGATGTGCTGGACAGACGTCGTCGATCCCGTCTGGATTGTGAGGACTCCTAAGGACAGAATGCAAATTGTTTCGCTTATCCAAGGGCTGCAACTTCCCTCGGTTGTATACTGCTACACATAAAATCAAATATTGTTTAGCAAGGATCTACTTTTCAGCATCCCAGTGCAAGACTGAGAGAGGGGAACTGGCTCAAAGAGAGCCAACTGCCTTTCTGTGTCAAAAGAAGGACTCCCCACCTAGTCCAGCACTTCAATCACTACGCCATGTGTGGATGTTGTCTGTGTGAGAGAGAGAGAGTGTTTCACACACTTACACCTCAGGATGGCAACTAGGACCAGAACTGCCATTGATAAGCAATGCAATCGTAAAGCGAAACTTTGCAGGACAGCATTGCTTAGTGATGGCAGTTTTAGCAGTTCCATCATTAGGTAAGGATCATGCAAGTCTTTAAGTGAGGGTCTCATGTACCATGACTTCCAAATTGCCGCCTTCCCTATTTGACTTTGTGGGAAGCTGGCAG